AATTTTGGATGGACTATTTGGTCCAATTGTTTTTCTGTTAATTGAAATAAAACATAGATCTTCCTCCTCATTTGACTTCATTTTTGACATGGAATCGAATATGTACAACACGGAGGCTAAAAAATTTACCTTAGTTAAAAAACCCTAACTCAGCTTAGAGGGAACACTGGATGGTACACATGGTTTGGGATGGCAGTGCTTCACCCCAGTGCCCCCTCTAAGCTGGGTTAGTGTGAGCTAGCTCACAGTTTTTTAGCTTCTGGCTCACAGATTTCGGTCTTATCGCAGGGAGGAGGGCTCCAAAGCAAACTAATTGATGCAGCAGCCAAACTGCTCGCTCACAATTTTAATGCCAGTGGCTCACAAAGGAGGATTTTTGTTCACAAGACTCCACAGCTTAGAGGGAGCAGTGCTTCACACTACTGATGAGGAATAACACAGCCAAATATTTCCCCATGGAGGGGGGGAAACCCTGTGCATGGAGAATTAGCAGAAAAGTGAGAAGACGGGGCTATTTATTTATTTATTTACTCCATTCAAATCCTGCCTTTCTCCCAAACGGGGACCCAAAGCAGCTCACGCCTTTCCTGTCTCCTCACAATAGCCCTGTGAGTAGGGCTGCCAGCTCTCGGTTGGGAAATACCTGAAGATTTTGGGGTTGGAGACTGAGGAAGGCCGGGTTTGGGGAGGGGTTTCAATGGGCTATAATGCCACAGAGCCCACCTCCCCAGAGCGGCCGTTTCCTCCAGGGGAACTGATCTCTGTGGCCTGGAGGTCAGCTGTCCAATGTTCCCTCTAAGCTGTGGAGTCTTGTGAGCAAAAATGCTACTTTGTGAGCTCCTGGCATAAAAGTTGTGAGTGAGCCATTTGGCTGCTGGATCAATTAGTTTGCTCTGGAGCCCTCCTTCCTGAGCGAAGGCAAAAATGTGTGAGCCAGAGGCTAAAAAACTGTGAGCTAGCTCACACTCACTCAGCTGAGAGGGAACACTGGCTGTAACCCCAGAAGATCTCCAGCTACCAGCTGGAGGTTGGCAACCCTGTCTCTGAAGAAGGTCCCTCATCCTCTCTAAGCCTCGCCTACTTCACAGGATTGTTCGTAGGAGCAGAGCAGGACCATGTCGGCCACCATGAACTCCTTGGAGGAAGGAGGAATGAGGAATGGACCAGATACATTTGCTGCATGTAAATTATGAAGGGACCACAATGTGTTAGAACAGATAAAAGGAAGTCCTTCTTCACCCAAAGAGCGATTAACACATGGAATTCACTGCCACAGGAGGTGGTGGTGGCTACAAGCATGGATGGCTTCAAGAGGGAATTGGATAAACATATGGAGCAGAGGCCCATTATTAGCCACAAGGTATAGATAGGGACTCTCGGTCTGGGGCAAGGGATGCTCTGTATTCTTGGTGCTTGGGGGATAGGGGCAACAGTGGGAGGGCTTCTAGTGTCCTGGCCCCACTGGTGGACCTCCTGATGGCACCTGGTATTTTTGGCCACTGTGTGACACAGAGTGCTGGACTGGATGGGCCATTGGCCTGAGCCAACATTGGCTGCTCTTATGTTCTTAATTTTATTTATTTATTTATTTACATCCTTTCCCCTTTTTCCTTTGCAGGGATGCAAGGCAGCTTATATCACTCTCCCCTTCTCCATTTCATCCTCACAACAATCCTGTAAGGTAGGTCAGGCCGAGAGAGTGTGACTGGCCCAAGGTCACCCGGCAAGCTTCCATGGCATGATTCGAGCCTGGGTCTCCCAGATCCTAGCCCAACACTTTAACCGGCTGTGACGTGCCTGTCCTCTCCTGAGCCAGGAGCATCTTTTTTTCACAGGGAAGCTTCCAGTCATGGGATATTCTGCCTGCCATTTGAACCTGTTGCCATCCAGAAACAGATTTACCGTCTCGTCTGTGACTTGTAAGAACCAGGTCTGGTGTTTTAAGCCTCTTCTGCCAGGAACTGAAACACTTCAGAGTCTGTTGAACCGCCGACTTAAGTGGCATCACAGAATCGCTTCAGTGCCTATCGCGGTGACACAGGCCACAGGGAACATCCAGCTGGGTCTCCTGTAAGGAGCTGCGTGTGAGTTAGAGATGCACCGTTGGATCCCAAAGATCTCGGTGGGTGCCGTGCCGGGGAGCAGGTGTTCAGTCGGCTTGTGTTTGGGTCAACACTGACACCTAGTGGTTGGCTGTGGCCCTCCCTGCTTTTGACGGTCACAAGTGTTTCACTATTCATCTAAGAGCCACCCAAAGGGTGGTGCTTTCCCTTGGCACAAGGAGTCTTCCCCTGTCGGAAGAGGGACTCAACCCACTGAAAGAAAAGTCACTCCATGTTCTTTGCAGTTAGGAGGACAGCAGAACGATGTAAGCCACCATGAACTCCTTGGAGGAAGGAGGAATGGACTAGATAGACTTGTGACATTTAGATTATCCAGGGACCTTGAATTATTTATTTTATTTACGTGCTTACTTCGTTTTTTCCCTCACAACAACCCTGTGAGGCAGGTGAGGCTGAGAGTGAGTGACCAGCCTGAGGTCACCCAGCTGGCTTCCATGGCGGGGGGGGGATTCGAACCTGGGTCTCCCAGACCCTTAGCCTGACACTCCAACCACTACACCGCACTCCTGCTTTCATTGCTTAAAGTCCACTGGTGCATCACAGAGATTCTAATAACAACTTTTAAAAATTCATCCCAAACTGGAGACTGCGGGGACTGTCTGCACTTCTCTTGATCCCCTTTTCCAGTAAAAAAGAACCAGTCTTTCTAGATTGGGCTTCTTGGATAAGCAACGCAACACTCCCTAAAGCCACGCTACACAAGGCAACCAAACCACACATCCTGCTATTCTTAGAAGCTTCATCCAGTTACAATAGCTCGTAACCCCAGGAGTTCCAGCGGCGATCTTCAGTTACGACTGGTGTCTGAGGTAGTTCAGCAACACAGGCGGGACGTCCAGCTGATCGGCAGCATGTGGCCGCTTGGCCAGTTGGAGGAACTTCCAGACAGACAGCCGGCACTGAGACATCAAGGACTTGGGGTGAGCTGCACAGAGGGGGGAGAAAAGGGGGGGGAGAAGGAGACTCCTGAGACTGCTGAACTTTCAAGCTGCATTCTGGCTCTGAGAGGGATGTGTCATTGTAAGCAAAGAGAAAAAGCAGGGGAAATGTGGCATTGTTGACCCAAAGACTCTATCTGGCTATCCTCTGTATGCCACAGCTGTGCCCAAAAGACAGCCTGCTGGACACCACCTTGTCAATGCCCCCCCCCCCCAAGGGCTCTTTTTGTAGAAAAAGCCCAGCAGGAACTCATTAACATAATAGGCCACACCCAACACCAGAAACTCATTAGCATATTGGGCCATACCCCTGACAGCACAGCTCATTAGCACATTAGGCCGCACCCCCATGTTACCAGAAGTGGGGTCATCCAGCCACGCCCACCTTTTGCTTCTTATTGTTTACCTTGTTTGTTGTCAAAACCCAGGGCTTTTTTTGGAGCAGGAACTCCTTTGCATGTTAGGCCACACACCCCTGATGTAGCCAGTCCTAATGAGTTCCTGCTGTTGGGTGTGGCCTATTATGCTAATGAGTTCCTGCTGGGTGTGGCCAACTCAGGAGCCAGCCGGAACTCCGTTCCTGTGCGTTCCTGCCCAAAAATAGCTCTGCCCCCCCCCAATCTGGAATTGTGTAGGGTTGTCAACGGTTGGGAACCTCCTGGAGATTTAGGGGTGGAGCCTGGGGAGCGCAAGGTGTGGGGAGGGGAAGGGCTTCAGCACAGGATAGCACCCTGGAGTCCACGCTCCAAAGCAGCCTTTGTCTCCAGGGAAACTGATCTCCGTGGTCTGGAGTTCCGTTGTAATTCCAGGAGATCTCCAGGCCCCACCTGGAGGATGGCAAGCCTAGGAACTGGTCATGTTTAAAAAACCACTCAAAAACATTAAAACCTTCTCTTCCACCACTACCCCCACCCCATACAGTTAGATTCGATTCCAATAGCACTGGAAACACCAACGAGATTTCCAGGGGATCAGCTTTCGAGAATCACAGCGCCGCTTGTCAGACCTTGGGCTGTGGTCACACGGCAAGCGTACCGCGACTTGTTCCCGCTGTAGATTGGATCGGGGATATTTTTTAGCGGGTTCAGATGACCACATATCCCTTGCCCAACCGCTTGGATTGTGCAACGAGGCTCCAGGTACTGTCCAGACTAGGGATGCCAAGTCCCCCCTTCTCCTGAAGCGGGGGACGCCCGGGCTCTTCCAGGAGTGTGCGCGCGCGCAAAGTGTGCGTGCACGCCGCATCTACGTCACCAGGAAGTGACGTGACCACGCAGGGCACACTAAGGGCGGGGCCACGACCGTCCGAGGGAAAACCATAGAGTTTTCCCTCGGATGACCGTGGCCCCACCCCCAGCGTGCCCGGCGTGGTCACGTCACTTCCTGGTGAAGTGCATGTCGGGGTGGAGTTCCCACCGGGGCATGATCCGGTGGCGGCGGGGAACGGGCCTCTGGGGCGGGGGTTTCCCTGCCCCCCCCGGGGGACTTGGCAAGCCTAGTCCAGACAGCCGCACCACCCAAGTAGCGGCGCAGCACAATGTTTCTAAAAAAAATTATTTGTGCATGCGCATATGCACATATGTGCATGGGCAAAGAATTTTTTTTTAATTGTGCCACGCCGAACAAAATGAACTACCGACGTGTAACCGAGCGCTGTTTTATGTGCGCTTGAGTGTTCATGCCTTTAATATATTCAGCGCAGGATTGGTCATGCGCACAATGGTGAAAGCCGGGGGGGGGGGGAGAAAACTACCACGAGAAGGACGTACAGATGACCTAATCGCATTTATAGTGAGAGATGGCTGTCCGGATAGGAGAAATTGCAGATTCACAGTACAAATATTTGGAAAGTACTTGATTTTCCCGGTGTCGGAAAAATCACTAGGACACCGGGAGGATTGCGGGGGTGAGTCCGCTTCGATACGGGAGACAGAATTGGCTGTCTGATCAGCCCTTTTAAATGCAATAGGGAACAGTTGTGAAACCTGATCAAAATGACCATGTGACCACAACCCTTGATTCCTTCTAATCTAGCTCTCCTACTGCAATCCAATGCAGCTACCCGCCAGAATGTATGGGATTAGTTACCTCTTTCCCTGGCCATCATTTCTGCCACTTCAGAATTTGTGGAGATCTTGTCGAGTGTGATATCTGGTAAGTACACATTGGCTCCAAAATCTATCAGGAGTCTGACAAATTCAGGCCCGCAGCCATGCCTCAGGCAGACTTCTAGCAGTGTCGCCGGCTTCCGGATTCGTGCCAACATTCTCCGATCAGTGCAGTTGTAGTCTGGATTGGCCCCGTAGAGCAGAAGCATCCTGAAGCACTCCAGATGTCCGTAGACCGCCGACAGGTACAGAGGGCCGGAGCAGGAGGCTGAGTTGGCTGCCCAGTCGGGGACTCTGGCTTTGACGTTGGTGTCGGCCCCGTGCTCCAAGAGCTCCTGAAGGATGTCTGCGTCTCCGTCTCTTGCGGCAGTCAGCAGCGGGGTACAGTTGTTGTGAATGCTCCCGCCAGGGTCGGCTCCCGCCTCCAAGAGGGCCCTCACGCAATCGAGGTGGCCGTTGCTGACTGCTGTGAACAGTGGGGTCTGGGCCTTCACGTCCAGGCTGTCCACTTCAGCGCCATGGGCAAGGAGAACTTTGAGGCATCTCATGTGGCCCTTGGAGGCTGCCAAGCGGAGTGGTGTCCCGGGCACCCCCCAACCACTCCGACCGTTGATAAACCTCTTGTACCTCTCTTGGCACAACAGTTGGTCCAGAAGTTGGTAGTTATCCTGGGACACCGCCAGGTTCAGCTCCTGTCTTTCTCCATCCCCTTCTTCATCTTCTCTAGGTTGGAGCATGGAGAAGATCTTGGTGACATCCAGCAGGCTCATCTTGAGTTGTCTCTTGAGGATGACTTTCATCATGGACTGTGTGATGCTTGAGAGCTACAAGGCAAAAATGGGAATCAGGAACAGAGCCCAGATCTGAAGATCATACCAGACAGCCACTGAGACGAGGCAAGCTTGCGCGGGAGCCTTCCTGGATGACAGATGTAGAGATCGGAACGAAGTTGCCACAGTGCTGGGCTCTGGGTGTGTCTACATCATTTATTTACTTCATAACTGACCTTTCTCCTCAATGGGGACCCAAGGTGGCTTGCATAATTCTCCTCTCCTCCATTTTATCCTCACAACAACAGCTCTGTGAGATAGGTTAGGCTGAGAGAGTGTGACTGCCTCCAGACCACCCAGCAGGCTTCTATGAAAGAGTGGTGATTCAAACCTGGTTCTCCCAGATCCTGGGGTTCTTTCGCATTCTCATTTTTGTTGCTTGTGTGTCCCTATCGCTTCAGGTTTCCCCCCCTTTTCTGCACACGTTTTGCTCCCTCTATTGGCCAATGTGATATTACACTGCTGTACGTCCAGCATATCTCCCTGCAAACTGAAATTGCAGGTGTTTATGCCGGACATACATCCATGTAATATCCGATTGACCACTAGAGGAAGGAAAGCACAAACAGGAAAGACCCCCCCAAAAAAAGCAATAGGGACACACAAGCGACGAAAATGAGAATGTGAACGAGCCCCTGGTCTCTCTAACCACACACTCTAACCACTAACCACACTGGCTCCCATAACTGGATTAAGGGACGACTTCCAGATTTAGGAGTAGAGATTGGATTTATACCCCGCCCTTCACTACCCGAAGGAATCTCAGAGCAGTTTACAATCTCCTCCCCCTCCCTACAACAGACACCCTGTGAGGTAGGTGGGGCTGAGAGAGCTCTTTTGAGAACTGCTCTTTCAAGAACAGCTCTGACAGAACTTGTGACTGCCCCACGGTCACACCAGCAGCTGCAAGTGGAGGAGTGGGGAACCAAACCCGGTTCTCCCAGATTAGAGTCCATGCTCCTAACCACACCAAACTGGCTCTGAGCATCAGCTGAAACCAAACTATATGTTATACTGGGAACCTGTGTATATCTTCCCATGTGTACTTCAGCTTTAACCTTCAGAACACCATGGGTATAAGTTGAACCTTGATTTCATCTCCCCTCAAACACAAATGCCTTTTGAGGCACAGTGTAGAGTGTAGAGAAATCAAAGCATTCTTGTGTGGGAATATGGTGTTGGAGTGCAGAGTCAAGTCCACAAATGACCAGGAGCAAAGACGCCACCATCCCGGAGTCTATCCCCTCCACATCTGGGAACAGAGTTCTGCGTATGGAACTCATAAAGTTCATCTGACCTGGACTGGGGACTGGTGTAGCTCGTCACTCAGGAGCAAGCTTTTTTTGCAACAGAACTATTGATATATTTTTCACAGGAATGTGTGTGCACACTGAGATACATATGGAAAATATTCTGTTAAAAGCGACGTTTGCCTCTCAGCATTCTTTGAAGAGAGCTCTGCACTCCTCTAAGCCTACATGCACACGGCCTCTGTCAAGAGCACCAGATGCAAACTTCTGGGAAAGGGCTGCATCAAGGCCCTAGTTTTTACTGAGTCTGGGCTGCACCATGGTAAGGTTGCTATTGGGGAAGTGGGGGGTCTTTACAGGGGTCATTTCCTGCAGGAGCGCACAGGAACGGAGCTCCGGCAGTAAAGAGCCCAGGGGGCGGGTACATGCAACAAGCCCCACCCCCTGCTCCCAGCAGCCCCAGGCCATGAAGAGCAAGAAACCTCTCTCTCTCTCTCTCTCTCTCTCTCTCTCTCTCTCCTTCCTTTCTTCTCACCTTCTTTCCCTTTCCCTCCTTTTGTTCTCTCCTTTTCATCTTTCCCTTCTTCTTCCCTTTTCTGTCTTTCTTTCTTTCCCTTATTCTCTCCTTCTCTTTCTTTCCCTCTTTCCTTCTCTTTTTTCCTTCCTTCCTTCCTTCCTTCCTTCCTGCCTGCCTGCCTGCCTGCCTGCCTGCCTGCCTGCACAGATCTGCATGTCCCCCCCCCAGCTAACAATCCAAAACAGTCCAGTGGCACCTTTAAGGCCAAGGTTTATTCAGGTACAAGCTCTCCCTCCTCTGCTAGGGCAGATCTGTGTGCTTCTCCCCCCCCATAGCTAGCAATCCAAAACAGTCCAGTGGCGCTTGAGTGGTGGGTGTTGCCTTCTGACACACTTCTGGTGATGTCAGGGGGTGTGGCATATGCAAATAAGTTATGCTAATGAGTTATGCTGATGAGCTCCTGCACCTCTTTTTCTACGAAATGACCCCTGGGGGTCTACATGCAATTTTTTGTTTTTTTAAAAAAAGAGAAACCTCCCTTCATATACAAAATGAGGCCAGAACCTTTCTTTCCAACATCTAGTTCCCTAAGCATGGCAAATTATTTTGACTGAAGCAACATTCCATTCCATTCATCCCACTGCAGCCTGAAGTGGAACAGCCCAGCCACAGGTGGACAGATGTGGGCCACACTCTGTGCCCAGCACGACTTTCTCTGGGGATGAAACCAGACCGCCTAACTGGTTGAGCCTGACTCATTCTTTGGCCCTGACCCCAGCTCAGTGAATAGACGACTGTGCTTTCAAACTTCATAGTACGCTGGGGATCCATGAGTGGAAGGCCTTGGGTATGCCTAAAAAGCAGGGGTGGAGGGGTGGGATTTGGACTGAGAGCACAGCACGGCAGGATCACCCACCCCTCGGCGAGGCTACTCATTGTGTCTCTGCATGAGTGTCTGAGGCATCTAGCCTTGCTGCCTTCTAATCAGGAGGCACTCCCTGATCTGCGATCCATGCAGAATCAGGGCGGGGGGGGGAGGAGTTTCATCTGAGAGGCTGTTTTGGAATACCCTCCAAAAGCAAATCTCTTCATGTCCCAAAATACAGATTGCCTTGCATTTTAATTCAGGGGGAAAGGTATCCTTTGGCTAGCAAAAGTTTGGCAAAAAGCGCATTAGATTAGAGAGCATGTCGGCCACAGAGAAGGGGCCGTGGCTCAGCGACAAAAGCATCTGCTTGGCATGCAGAAGGTCCCAGGTTCAATCCCCGGCATCTCCAGTTACAGGATCTGGCAGTAAGTGAGGTGAAAGACCTCTGCCTGAGACCCTGGAGAAGCCGCTGCCAGTCTGAGTAGACAAGACTGACCTTGCCAGACCCGGGGGGCAGGGTCTGATACTGTGGAAGGCAGCCTCAGGTGTCCATAGTGCTGTGCCCTGGGGTTAGAGTGCAGGATGAGGACTGGGGAGATCCAGCTTCAAATCCCTGTTCCGCTACTCCCCCTCATAGGGTTGTTGTGAAGAATACACAGGGCAGGAAGGACCAAGGGGCTGAGCTCACTAGAGGGAGGCAGGATGAAGAAGACCCAGGCAGAGAGAGAGAGAGAGAGAGAGAGAGAGAGAGAGAGATGTTACGTCCAGCCTCACGCAGAGAATGAAGCCCTCAGCTAAATTAGGGACAGAAGGATAAAGGGAAATTCCTGGCAGCAAGAGGCACTTGTCAGGGACATCCATGCAAGGCAATTCCTAATCTTCCTGGGGAAGGAATGTCAGGCCCCACCTGCCTGGCTATGAAATGCTAGAAGCCTTGGGGGGGGGGGTGTGGAAGAAAAGGCTCTTCAGTGCATTCCATCTCCAAAATATCCCAAGATTTCCTCCACCCCCACTCTCAAAGAAGACGCCTGCCCCTCCTGCAAGTCCCTGGTCCAGATCCTGCAATGGACCTCAGGAGGACCCTGGACTTGATCGCACCTTTCCCAGACTATACTGGGGTCCACCCGCCCACAGCCTCCGCTTGGCCCCAACTTGGGGCGGCCCACCCAGAAAGCCTCACGCTGAACAAAGGTCTTCTGCTCCAGTTGTCCTTCTGACTAGGGACAGGCCATATTTTCTTGGAGAAGTGGTGGTAAAAATGTTATGGCCAAACATGCAGACTAAATGCTAATTCAGTCACCTCTCTTATTCCTTTCCTTCCCGAAAAAAATTGGTATATTCATTTATTCTCCATTCACTCTGTTAAAAATGGATTTTATTTTAAAACAGCTGTATAACAGCTCCAGGAATTAGTAACATCACAGATAATAGCCAACCAGCACCATCCACAAGTAGCTTCTGCTACAAACTTGGAGAACTTGGTTTACCTTTCCCCCATAGCTTGATTTAAGTAGAGAAAAGGTACTCAGATATGCAGGCGATACCACGATACCACTCTAATGGCAGAAAGTGAAGAGGACCTAAAGAGCTTCTTTCTGATGGTAAAAGAGGAGGGCGCAAAAGTTGGCTTGAAACTCAACGTCAAAAAAACCTAAGATCATGGCATCCGGCCCCATCACTCCTTGGCAAATAGAAGGGGAAGTCATGGAAGCAGTGACAGACTTCACGTTCCTGGGATCCAAGATCACTGCAGATGGTGACTGCAACCATGAAATTAAAAGACGCCTGCTCCTTGGGAGGAAAGTGATGGCAAACCTAGACAGCATAATAAAGAGCAGAGACATCACCCTGCCAACAAAAGTCCGTATGGTCAAAGCAACGGTATTCCCAGTAGTCATGTATGGCTGCAAGAGTTGGACTATAAGGAAGGCCGAGCGCCGAAGAATAGATTCTTTTGAACTGTGGTGCTGGAGAAGACTCTTGAGAGTCCCTTGGACTGCAAGGAGATCAAATCAGTCAATCCCAAAAGAAATCAACCCTAACTGTTCCCTGGAAGGCCAGATAATGAAACTGAAGCTCAAGTACTTTGGCCACCAAATGAGAAGGGAGCACTCACTGGAGAAGACCCTGATGCTGGGAAAGATAGAAGGTCAAAGAAGAAGGGGACAGCAAAGGATGAGATGGTTAGACAGTGTCATAGATGCAACGAACATGAAATTGAGCAAACTTCAAAGCACGGTGGAAGACAGGAGGGCCTGACATGATGTGGTCCATGGGACACAACTGTGCGAATGAACAACAACAACAGCAATGTGTTTGTACTAAATGTAGAAAGCATACAGAGAGCCAGTTTGGTGTAGTGGTTAAGTGTGCGGACTCTAATCTGGGAGAACCGGGTTTGATTCCCCACTCCTCCACTTGCACCTGCTGATGTGACCTTGGGTCAGTCACAAGCACTGGCACAGCTGTTCCTGAAAGAGCAGTTTGTGTCAGAGCTCTCTCAGCCCCACCCACCTCACAGGGTGTCTGTTGTGGGGAGGGGAAGGGAAAGGAGTTTGTAAGCCGCTCTGAGACTCCCAAGTGAAGGGCGGGGTATAAATCCAATCTCTTCTCTTCTTCTTCTTCTTCCAGACCAGGCCCCACGCTCTAGAATTGTTAGATCTGCCTTCACACGTTTGGCCAACCCACTGCCTTCTGAGTTCTTATCAGAGCCAGTCCACATACTTCAAGCAAGTTTTGACAGCCATGAGGACTAGAAACTTGGAGAAAAGGCTGGGATTCTTAGCAAAGTTCTATAACCAGCACCACACTCTGTGCTGCTTCTTTGTGTCTTCAGAATAGAGCTCTGACTCATTTCTGAAGGCATCAAATGTGCCCTGGTCCTATGATACTATCAAATTTGCCTAGTTTAATTTTTAAAATTTGAGATTCACTGCTCTCCATAGCCCTCCAGAGGCATTTCTTGGCTCATTAGCATTCTGAGGAGGAAACTACGCATTGCATGAAAACATGGGTCTCCCTCAAAAGCCATAGAGGGGATATTTATTCATTTAAAATATTTATATTTGCCTTTCCACTGTGTTTCAGGCGGCACTGGGAAGAGAGGTGGCAGACCACTGGTATGTCTCTGTGTCTGTGTGTGCGCGCGCCCACACACTTAACCTTTCCCTTCCCTTTCGTTTCCCTGATTCTAATTGCCCTCCTCCTCAATGAGGGGCTTGAAATGCGGGTCTGTCCTCACAAACACACATCTGGAACCCTGCATGGGGGCCAAGCAGCTTGGAGGGGGCAATATGGAGTGGGAAAACAGTAGGCGAGGGAAGGATGTGGTACCCCTTCCCTTTCAACCTCTCTCGGTCACTCACTCCGGGGAAGGGGGTGCTTCTCACTTAAAAGGGCTGTTAGGTTAGTTCCACGTGTTCATGAATCTGGGCCTTCAGCTGCATGAAAGCGGCATCCTTCTGCCAGTCAATCAGTCCAGCAAGGCTGAAAACAGACAGAGCCTGAGACTAGCGTTGCCAACCTCCAGGTGTGGCCCAGAGGTCTCCCAGGATTCCAACAGATCTCCCAACTCCTAGAAGAAACGGCTGCTCTGGAGAGTAGGTCCCATGGCCTCGTACCCTGCTCAGGTCCCTCCGCCCCCCAGACCCTGCCCTCTCTAGGCTCCACCCCCAAATCTCCAGGAATTTCCCAAGCCAGAGTTGGCAGCTCTACCTGAGGTTAAATTGGGGGTGGCGGCGGCGTAAGTGATGGAGGATAGCAGAGCTGAGCTGGGCATAAGGGGAATAAAAATGGATGGGGAAGAAGGGGACCCCCCTCTGCTGTCTTCTTCCTCTCTGGGTGGATGAAAAAGAAAACAACAGATTTGCCTTCTAGTTTGCATTTCTTTTTGTAGCAGAAACTCCTTTGCGACACACCCCTAATGTAGCCAATCCTCCAAGAGCTTACAGAGCTCTTCTTACAGGGGCTACTGTAAGCTCTTGGAGGATTGGCTCCATTAGGGGTGTGTCGCCCAGGGCTACTTTTGGGCAGGAGCACAGGAACGGAGTTCCAGCTGGCTCCCGAGGTGGCCACACCCAGCAGGAACTTATTAGCACAATAGACCACACCCAACAGCAGAAACTCATTAGAATTGGCTACATTAGGGGGGGGGGTGGCCTAACATGCAAAGGAGTTCCAGCTACAAAAAAAGCCCTGGGTTTTGGCAACAAACAAGGTAAACAGAATAAGAAGCAAGAGGTGGGTGTGCCTGGATGAGCACACTTCTGGTAACATGGGGGTTGCGGCCTAATATGCTAATGAGCTGTGTTATCAGGGGTGTGGCCTAATATGCTAATGAGTTCCTGCTGTTGGGTGTGGCCTATTATGCTAATGAGTTCCTGGTGGGCTTTTTCTACAAAAAAAGCCCTGGTGTTGCCTAATATGCAAAGGAGTTCCTGCTACCAAAAGAGCCCTGAGTGGGGCTGAAAGGGGCTTCGGTATCTGTATTGCTAAGGTTGCCCTGATGTGGAAATCTAAGTTGTTTTTAATTCAAAGGAAGGTATGCATAACTAAGAGCAGCTCAGAGTTGTAATAGATTCAGGTGGGTACTCGTGTTGGTCTGAAGCAGCAGAACAACGTTGGAGTCCAGGGGCACCTTTAAGATCCACAAACTTTTGTGTGCATGCACACGGTGTGCGTGCCACTGGAATCCAACTTTGCTCAGGATTGTAAAGGTCTACAGAGCAGTCCTGCCAATATCGTAAGAAGAGCCCTGCTGGATCAGACCATCCAATAATCCATCCAGTCCAGCACCCTGTCTCTCACACAGTGGCCAACCACTGGAGGTTGCTTCCTGGCGCTGATGTTGCTTCCTGGCGCTGGGATTCAGAGGTTGACTGTCTCTCAATGTGGAGGCTCCTCACAAGAGGATGAACCCGCAAGCCATATTCTGGGATCTGCAGTTCTTAAAAGTAAAGGTAAAGGTTCCCTTGCTTGAAAGCCAGTCGAGTCCGACTAGGGTTGTGGTGCTCATCTCCGTTTCAAAGCTGAAGAGCCAGCGCTGTCCGAAGACGTTTCCATGACTAAACACCAAGGCGCACGGAACGCTGTTACCTCCCCACCGAAGTGGTACCTATTTATCTACTTGCAATTTCTTGCTTTCGAACTGCTAGGTTGGCAGGAGCTGGAACTAGAGACGGGAGCTCACTCCATCACGCGGCACCCGGGTCTCGAACTGCTGAACTACTGACCTTCCACAGCCTGCAGTTCAGCGTCTTAACCACTTGAGCCACCGCAGCTCCTTCTTAAAAGTAGGCCTGCTTTATTACCATATCAGGGGATACTCTAGTAAACCTTAAAAAACAAAAACTAAGGAGTAAGTAGCATTCTCTTATAGCAATGACTGGAATCTTCAATGTATTGTAACCTAACTTGCCCCGAAAAAGAAACTTTCTAAAAAGCCAGTTTAAGGTTGAGGGCAGAGTGTCGGTGTGGACAGAAGGTTGGTGGGAGAGAAAACACAAAATGAGATGACTGATGCAGTAAATTGTACTTTCCCCCCCTATGCCATTAAAATGTAATTGATGCATTCATCCATTTCAAGGCAGATTTTGTATCGACTACAGAACGATGAAAACAGTCGACGATTGTAGTTAGATCAAGGAGGTCCGGTCATTTGAATACAAGCTCTTGCTCCACAT